TGATCTCACCTGCTCTTCATACTTGAAAGCTCTCTAAGTTTCCCATCTCCTCTCTCAGTTCTGTGTTCTGAATGATTTTTTGATCAGTCTACCCATTAAATGATAGTCTAATGGTGTCTGTAAGTTGTAATTTGAGCKGTAATTCTTATTTCTAAGCTTTATGTTTTTTCAAATATATCTCACTTTTTATATTTTTTCTTTCTTTCTTGATTTTCTTTTCTTTTTTTCTTTCTTCCTTTCTTTCGTCTTACTCTCTTCCTCCCCTCCAACCACTGAGCTACATCTCCAGCCCCACCCACCTATTTTTAAATTTTGAGACAGTCTTGCTCCTCTTCCTAAGGCTAGCCTTGAACTTGTGATTTACCTGCCTCAGCCTCCTGAATAGCTGGGGTTACAGGCATGCACCACTGTGTCCAGCTTCCTCTTTTCTTTCTGTACGCATTACACAAAGTTATTCTGTGCGCAAATGAAATCCAGAGGCTCTAAATCTATTTTGTTGTTTCTGTGACATAACTCAAGCATGCTATTTTTTTATATTAGTTTTATCTTGATGTCAGGTTTTGTGCAGTTTTCTCTGTGAGAGCCCAAGACCCTAACTGGAAGACACCTTCCTTAAGAGAGTTCCCCTCTGTAGATGCCAGGATCCAACCCAGTGCTGACCCTCTGAGGCCCTCCTCTGGCCAGCTCCTCCAGGCCCCACATCAGTCAGTCTCTGTGACTGTGTCATTCCCTTCAGGTCAGGCACCTGGGACCTTCTTGGCACTTCTAGTAATTTTGTAATTGCAGTTGGTTGTTTGTTGCCAGGGCCTGATTGTACAGATACCTGATAAAGCCCAGGCCTGGGGAGCAGCGGCTTGGAGAGGAGAGAAGAGAGGCAAAGGCAGGAGGGCAGGTGACATGTGCCTGAGCTCCTTCTCAGACCAGGTTTTCTCCTGCTGGCCCACATGGTCTGAGGTTGCAGGTATCCTCTTTGTGGGGCCAGAATTTGTGCTGGAACCAAGGCTTCCAACTCTAAATAATGTCCTTCTCATCCAATATGGAGAGTGTGTGTAGAATAATCACTGTACTAGTAAGGGGGGTCCTGGCCTCTGAGGGAATTCAGTGCCTCGCCTGGCAAGTGGGGTAGCTGGGTATGACTCTGAGATTGCTTTAAGCCTTAGGCACAGCCACTGCAGAAGTGTTTAATACTGTCAAAACACAGCAAGGCCTTTTTCCACTTCATTCTAGGCCCTTTTTCAATATAGTAATTGTTTTACAAAACAATTCCATGTATAGTGTCCATTCAGGCTGAGGTGGAAAGACTGTGTTGAAAGTAGGGGCATAAGTAGACAACTAATTTGGGGATTGTGTCATGTTTGATCTGTATTTTATTTTAGAGGCAAGAGTATAGTTCTACCAGCCTGACAACCAGCAAGGCCAACGTAAAGGTGGTCCTTTTGCACCTTTTTTTATCTCCAGAAAGAGTGTTGAAAGACCTCCATTAGGCAGAAACAAAGAAGTGCTCATCTTAACTTTCATGTTAAATGAGATGTCATTGACATCCCCTTGGGTGTGAACAGTCTTGTCTTCCTTCTGCTGTCTTGGCTCTTTGTCTTTCACACTCATATCCCAGAGAGGACAGACTGGGTGTCCAGCTCCTGGGCACACTTCAAGTACGCTTATTGATGGTGTCTGTTTGTGTTAGAGCTTTCACTTAAAGAAAAATTAATTCCTATAAATTAATTCTTTTGTGTCGAAGTGGAGAACAGTTCAAAACTTACATTAATTGAAGCTTTGTGGATTTTGTGTAAAGAAAAAGTCATTATCCACATTTTGAAAGACCTACTTTATAGTTAGATTGTTGATATTTATTGARGCATTGCCCAGAATAAGAATAGTCTGGCGACAGACAACTACTTCTTTCTGAAAGAAACCTTTAAGCTCTCTTGTGTGAAAAYAGTGGTGGTGGAGGTGGTGGTGGGGGGGATTACAACTTTTTTGGTTACTGATTTCCCTTCCTTTTGCCCTCTATACCTGGGCCTGCGTCTTGAGTAGGAGAGCTTCTGAAGAAAAGTGTAAGTAGAATGTGTAGGATCATCACTGTATGCTTCCAGTATTACTATTTAATATGCATTTCCTTAATCTTCTGAACTKCATTCTGCTCAATAAAAATTTATTGAACACCTAGTATGTGCCCGGCCCTGTGCTACATTCTAAGAAAACCAAAATCAATAATTCTGATCCCAGTTTTCAAAGAGTTTGCAGTCTAAAGATAAAAACATCAAAATAAAACATCAAAATTCTGGCATGCCTCATGTATCCTGTGAGTGCAGAGTAGAGAAGTAATGCTGGAGAGGGAAAGCTGAAGCACCTGGGATGGTTTCACAAAGCAGGGGACACTCTGCAGTAGGGCTTTGAAGGCGAGAATTGTATGGACCCAAGAATGGGACGGGTCAGGTGTCAGCCAGACTGGCCAGAGGTGATACCAGACACACACAGCTGTGTCTGAGGAAAGTCTTAGGAAGCACCTAAATGGCTCAGAACCCTGAAGGCAGTGGCTCTGAGCTCACCTGCTGACACATCTCTAAGCCAGCTGTGAGACAGAAAAAACAGGCCAGTTTGTACCTGGCAGGTGTTTCTGCAACTTGGCAGAAGGTCCCCAAGACTGTTTTTTATCAGCAAAGTAGCTTTAGCTTTTCACTACTTTGTAGAAACTGGGGTCTGTTGAAATAGGATTCGTTGTTCTCCTTGCTCTGTGACCCCTGGGGCTCCCCTGCTAGAACAGCTAGTTTGGGCCCTTGCTTTCAAGTCACAAGTTTCTGCTCCGTCATGTTCTCCCTCTGCCTCCTTGAGCCCCCAGAGGTCAGTAGACRCACTGAGCTATGATGGTGGCCTGAATAGAGTTACTGCCCACTTGTTCTCTGCCCCAAAGCGTGTGGAAGAATAGGCCCAGTTGGGAGGGTTTGGAAAGTTAATTGGTTTGTGTCTAGGGAACATAGTCTTAGAAAGTAATAGTAATTCGTCTTCACAATGACCAAATGCTTACTGACTGCAGGCCTGGCAATGTACAAAACTCTAACTAAAAACCCTGGAGATGAGAAAACTAAAGCACAAAAAGATTGAGTGATTTGCCTGAGGTCACACAGCTAGTAAACGGGAGGGTGAGACGGGGCTTGGTTCAAATCCAGCTCTGTCACTGACCACACTGCCCATGGTGGAATCAGAACTGGTAGTCCCTGCACTAGACGCTCAGTTGCTCTCATGTCTGAAACCTCTGGAATTCTCCTTTCCTCCTGCCTTTACATCTTTGCTTCATCACCCCCATCTCCTCACTCACTGACTCTGCGCCATCTCTTCTTTGGTTTGTCCACCGTATTGCCACAGCGTGATCTTCTTGTTAAACTGCCTGAGACCTTCTGTGGCATCTCCCTTGCTGCCTGAGACCTTCTGTGGCATCCCTGCCTATTCAGAATGGAAGCCACACAGTTACTCTTAACCATGCTATTGCCCACAATTATGGAGCCTGTGGGGTGTGGCGCTGTTGTCCACATACAGGACTGTCCCTGTGCTCTGTCCCCTTTCCCTTCACCACCTGCCCCAGCCAGGCCCTCAGGATTCTGCCAAACCTTCACTTGCAATTGGGAATCTCTAAAACTCTCCATCTGAGTGTACAGGGCTCACTGTGTCTTGTTTCTGCATCCTGCAGGGTGGGGAGTGGCCAGATGTCCTTCTAGCACCTGTAGCTCATCCAGGGTGAGGCTGTCTGTGTACACCTGGACACCACGTTCCAGCAGCTCCTCAGTTCTGCTGAGGGAACACTGTGCAGCATTGCCTGTTCCTTATGGAGCATGCTTAACTTGGGGGATGGCAGACATAAACTCAGCAAGCTATAAGTCAGTCCTATGTTACAGCTGTGGCGAGAAAGGAAGGTCATGGTTCTCCATGAGTGTAGCAGGACACTCTACTGGTCCTGAGTGTCGGGTCTTCTTAGTGAGAGCAGAGACAGCAATGTCAGCTTCTCTGGGAAATTAATGTCTGGGCCAAGGCTGTAAGTGAGYGTAAGTGAGAGAGGTGAGAACTGAGATGCGGACATCCCAGAACATGAACATGGCCTGAGCAGATACCAGGGGAGGGAAGGCCTGTGCGTCAAGGGGATTGGTGAGCAGGACAAAGGGAGGCAGGTCAAGTTCCCTAGGGTCCCACRGGGCCAAGGTAAGGACTTTGGGTTTTTTGTTAAAAGCAGCAGGAATCTACCTCAACTTTCCAAGCAGGGAATTCCAAAAAGATGACTGGCTGCTGTGAGGAGGGCTACAGGGGGCCAAGTGCAGAAGTGGAGGCTCAGCCACTATAAGACCCTGAGAGGTGGACAGATGGGCCTGGGGCCTAGGCATGGACCAGGGATAGTAAGGGCCCAGGACACCTGGTGTGTGCCAGGAGCTGCCAGATGACTTGGCACTTAGTTAAGGATGTGAATGCTGGCTAGACCCTAGCCACCTTCCCCTGGTACCTTCAACGAGGTCTGCACCACCAGGCTCTGGAGGCTCACTGCCAGGTCSGCTCCTCAAGAGCACAGCACAGATCCCTCCATCTCTTCCCATGTATGCTGTGCTTTGTCCGGGTGTAAGAGAGCAGCATGAGGGTTTACCATTCTTATCAGTGACTCCAAAGCTGACTTGTTAGAAATTATTGTTAAAATGCCATTATGAGGATAAGCCTTAGAGCAGATCTTACACAGATGAATCACACGTAAGTCATGGGTAGGTAGGAATGTTAGAAGTTACTGAGTTGTCTAACGGCATCAGTTGCTTTTAAAACTGTCCCTCTGGTTGCAGTTTGACTTACACATGCAGTCTTATAAATGAGCCACCAAGCGCTTTGTGAGACGTACGCCCCCCGTGGGCACCAACTTGCAGGGAACRTGTCCTGCCAAGCTTCAGTCACACTTTGTCTGTTTGTAGTTTAATTACTTCGGAAAACAGAATATTAATTTTGATATGTGATTAGAAAATTTTTTTTTGTAGGCTTTACCACCAGCACCTGTTCAGAATCACACAAATAAGCATCAGGTATTCAATGCATCTCTTCAAGACCATATTTATCCGAGCTGTTTTGGGAATACTCCAGAGTGGAATAGTTCTAAATTTATAAGTCTTTGGGGATCAGAAGTGATGAATGATAAGAACTGGAATCCTGGCACTTTCTTGCCAGATACAATTTCTGGTAAGGAATTTGTTAAAACTTTCTTAAGGTTTTAAAATAACCCAAGCCGAGTAGATGACCATCTTTGTTGCAATCTCCCTGGATGCCCAGGTGTAGCCATGTGGCTGCTACCTCTCCCTCTGTCTCTAGCAGAGGCCGGAGGCCTATCATCCCGTTCCATTCTTTCACATTTCCCACCATTCAGCCGTTGCATTGGCTGAACCGAGCGAGGCTCTGGCTCCGTGGCTGGTCATCAGCACAGTGGGCTGCGATGGCGTGGCATCATGCTTTGCAGGGTTTGGTCTCCAAGGCTTTTACCTAGCCTTTAGTTCTTGAGCAGTGGAGACAGCCAGACCTCAATCCAGAGCACAGGGGCAAGAGGACAGGGCCATGGTCTGCTCGAATGCTTGCGTTCCTTTTCTCTGGTTTCTGTATTGACCCTATATGGGATCTCTCCCCTCCAAAGCTCCTTCCTCCCAGCTGCCTCAGCTACTGAGCTCGGCTGTCGCTTCAGTTTCAGGGTCAGGGGCTCCTAATGAGGGGCTGGTACCTATGCCTCCTCTCTGTCTTCCTGTGGCTAGAGCTCCTGGTAGCCCACACCCTGCCCTGCATGTGCTCAGAACAGAAGCTAGACTTGACATCCCGATCTGTGCTTGGAAAGGATCTCTAGCTGTGTGACCTTGGGCAAGTTGCTTAGCCTCTATGAGCCTCAGTTTCTTCATCTTTAGAATAACAATACCAACCTCAGAAATTAGTTTTAAGACATTAACTTTGAAAAGCACCTAGCACAGGAATTGGCACATAATAGGTGCTCAATAAAATTTTTTTCCCTAGAATAAAGGCTGGTTGACTAGCATCACCCCAAAGGAGTCATGACTTCAGTGGCAGCCCCAGTCTCAAGTGCTCAGTCCTCAGCATGCCCGTTAGGGTTTCACTAAGATGSTGTTTCTCTTAGAAGCTTTAATTTTCCCATTCTTCTCTGAAGGGAGTGACATATTAGGGCCAGCACTCTCAGAAGCAAGCCCTGGAACCCTTCCACCTCCATCTAGCAACGAGGCATCTGCAGTTTCGGATAGTAAAGAGAAAAAAAGTGCTGCAAAAAAGAAATGTTTGTACAATTTCCAAGATGCTTTTATGGAAGCAAACAAAGTTGTCATGGCCACCTCCTCCGCCACATCCTCTGTGTCCTGCACAGCCACCACGGTGCAGTCAAGCAACAGCCAGTTCAAGGTGTCGTCCAAGAGACCCCCATCGATAGGTAAGGCCCCATAGCCCTTGGGACCCAGAGCCACTTGACTTATTTGCTTCTTCCATCTGCGCATTGTCTTTTACGTGGCCTAGCCAGAGGCACAGATGTAATGAACACACAAAAATGTTCGTGTACAAAGCTCCAACCTCAGGTTTTGATTGGAATTTCAGCTGTCACTCTGAATGCCCTGGGCTTCTCTGCACTGTATCTTACCGTCTTTCTCAACACTTACTGTTCATGATGGGAAGAGGTCATTGCTTTCTGAGTGTGTGATAGATTCCTTGGAAGCTGCTTTAGGAAAATGCCAAGCAGAAGAGAACAGGTGCAAATTGACAGGGCTGCCTGTCACCTAGCCTCCTGTTACTCAGATAAATCCACTTGCCATCAGTAAAAAGGGGCCTGAAAGCCAGGAAGTGACCAGAGACCCTGGGCAAATGTCAAAGGGACACAGGAGCTGACTTGAGGGGGCCTCATCAGCGAAAGTTGAGACTGTGTGATCATTAAAACAATAACAGTAGACCAGCTTATTAAAAGTGGGAGGCACGGGGCTSGAGTTTTGGCTCAATGGTAGAGCACTTGCTTAGCATGTGTAAGGCATTGGATTTGATTCYGAGCACCGCATATAAATACATGAATAAAATAAAGGTCCATCAACATCTTWAAAAAAAWATWTTTTTTTTTTTAAAGGGAGGCAGAGGAAAGGTGTGTTGGATTCTAGCATGCAGAGAAAGGCCTCCATAGGGATGGTAGAGCCAGTCATTTAGAGGGAAAATGCTTTTTTAACAGAAGCACATTACCATTCAGTGTGTATGAAGGATAGAAGCAGAAAGTCACCACTCTGAAGCCAGTAGCGTAGCAGCTAATTGAAGTCAGCGTTCAGGGGATATTGAAATGAGGAATGTCAGTTCGGGGAATTATAACATTTCTATTTTCCAAAAGGAGCACCCCCAGGGATTGACCCATTACAGCCAGGAATAGGGGATCCTTCTGAAGGAAGCTGTCAGCCCTGCTTGACAGGTACAGAGCTRTAGACCTTGGATGCCTCCTGTTGCTGTGAAAACATTGAGGAACCAGTTCATTTTGTAAGATTCATGCCCAGACCATTTCACTTGACTCTGACAAGACGATTCAGATTGTCATGGCCTCTCGAAGATGCCTATGTTGTGGGGCTGGGGTTGTGGCTCAGTGGTGGGGTGCTTGCCTTGCACATATGAGGCACTGGGTTCAATCCTCAGCACCACATAAAAATAAATAAATGTGCCCATCTACAACTTAAAAAAAAAAAATTCCCATGTTGTAAAAGGAAAGAAGTTCATAAGGTGCTGGGGGGCAAGGGGGCATTGGGGCTGAAGGTCCTGGGGTGTTGGAAGCCTGAGCACAGACTGGGTGCACATTGGGTGGCAGCTCTGTGATGGTGCTGGACATCTGTAGCTCTGTGCTGGTGCTGGACRTCTGTGGCTGGCAACAGGCCCACTGGGGACCTAGGAGCCTGCAGTCAGGCACGAGGCCAGGTACTACAATGTACTCCAGAGTTCAAGTCAAAAACAGGTGTGTATGTGGAGAAATAAAGTAAATATGACAAAGCACTAAATGGTGACAAAGGATGAACAGGTATTCTTTGTATTATTCCTTCAAATTTTCTCTAGGTCTGAACATTTTTACAATAAAACATTGATGAAGAAAATGTAATTGTAGGAAACACGAACAATCTATGTTTCCTCAGCCCTCGGCAGCCTCTCTCGCCTCTCTGTGTGCAGGTGATGTCTTTCATGGCCTCAACAAGGAGGACCACAGACACTCAGCACCTGCTGCCCCAAGGAACAGCCCCACAGGCCTGGCCCCGCTTCCAGCCCTCTCTCCTGCCTCGCTCTCCCCAGCCTCCACACCTCACCTTGCAAATCTTGCAGCCCCACCATTCCCCAAAACTGCAACCACAGCTCCTGGGTTTGTGGACACGCGTAAGACCTTCTGCCCTGCCCCCATGGCACCCCCGCCTGCCACCACAGATGGCTCCGTCAGCGCCCCTCCCAGTGTCTGCAGGTGAGCTGTGGATACCCAGGCCCCAGTGGGGAGGACTGAGGGCACTTTGGAGACAGGGTGCTGTGCCCTGGGGCCTCATTGTTGATAAGTCCCATAAAATGCAAATGGAGTACAGGGGGACCTCCCCAATAAAGACCACAGAGAGGGGGCTCCCATCTCAGCCTCTAGTTTTGCAGAGGGAAGAATAGAGATCCTAGCTGCTGTGGACCTCTGGCTACTGGTAGCATCATGGGTGTAATACTTGTTTGTTTTTAAGGCGTATTTGTTACCTGGATAGAATCAGAAGAACTTGTACAGCATTTATAGTGCAGCAGAGACCATACTCCACAGAGGTTTTTTTGTTTTGTTTTTTGTTTTTAATAAAAGACCATGTCTGTTACCTTCAAATTAGCCTGTTTGAAGCCCCCCACACCCCCTAGTGAGGAAGCAGTGGTAGCAGCAACAGTCAGGATAGTAGAAGGAGTTGTTCAGGGGCACCTTACTAGCACCATGAATGACAGCTGCATGCTGTGCCTCCTGCCTGGACAACCAGGTCCTGTGGCCGCACTGTCTTTGCTGACTGTGTGTGGCAGTGACTGCTCTCCACTGCCTCTGTCTGAAATGGGCAGAGCAGCAGGGGGTCTTGAGGAGCAGTGCTGAGTCAGTGCCTCCAGGGTGAGCTGCTGGCTAATAAGCTGTGTGCTTTTCTCCAGTGACCCTGACTGCGAAGGGCACCGCTGCGAGAACGGTGTCTATGACCCACAGCAGGATGATGGGGACGAGAGTGCAGAGGAGGACAGCTGCTCTGAGCATAGCTCCAGCACCTCAACATCAACCAATCAAAAGGAGGGCAAGTACTGTGACTGCTGCTACTGTGAGTTCTTCGGACACGGCGGGGTGAGTGTGCACAGTCAGTGTGTGCTGACATGAGAATGGCATGGCCTGAAGACTCTTCTGCAGGACTGCCYCGCTAAGTTGAATCTGGAGTATGGTCGTGCTGTGTGCAGAGCTATAACTATAGCAGTTAAAACCAAGCCTGAAGCAGCACTTCCACTGCCATGTTGTAAAATTTTAAAGAAACGAGGTTTTATCACTGCATTTTTATATTTGTGATTTTTTTTTTTTTTAAGTAGTCAGTGAAGTAGGGGGAGATCCTTGACTACAATTAGTGGGGAATTGCTCACCAAGCTACAAGTGCACATAGGAGAATTGTGCTGTGAGCACAGTCAAGTCCTCTCGTGAAACAAATGACACTAAGKGTGTTGATACACCTGCTTGCTTGGACATTTTTCAGGCCAATAATATTGTCCTGCTTCTTACAGGATGGGCTGTGGGAAATGTAGGCATGTAGTAGTAGTTTTCTGCTTTAGTTCTGTCTGAATTTCCTAAAATGTGTGCATAATTACTTTTAACAATAAGAGGCTTAGCAGAAGGACCAGGGAGCAATGTTTTCCCGTTTTCAGCCCTGGGAAAGAAACCTGCAAGCAGATGGAAAGATACTGCAGACAGATTTATTGATATGAAAGGGTAGACACATTGTACTAAATAAAGAAACAGATTAATCAGTATGTGTAATTGTTTCTTTTTGGTTTAAAAAAATTGTGTGTGTATTTTACCAGATTTTCACAAACATATAAAACTTGAGGAGAAGGTGCCAAAAATAATTTTTAGGTTAGTGATACTTGGTTCTTCTGCCRTTTGTTTCTTGGTTCTTCTGCCATCTCATTTCCTTGTTTTTCACAAGAGCCTGCACTAGTTGAGTAATTTTTTTTAAGAAGAGGTTATTTTTGGAGATGTTTTGAGATTTGTTAAATTGGAACTGTGGCTTAATGTGATTGTGCCGTTATGTGTCCTAGCCTCCCGCTGCTCCAACAAGTAGAAATTATGCAGAAATGCGGGAAAAGCTTCGTTTGCGGCTGACCAAGAGGAAAGAAGAGCAACCTAAAAAAATGGATCAGATCTCGGAACGAGAAAGTGTTGTTGACCATCGAAGGGTAGAGGATTTGTTACAGTTTATAAACAGCTCAGAGACCAAGCCAGTAAGCAGTACTCGGGCAGCCAAGCGTGCGAGGCATAAGCAGAGAAAGGCAAGTGCGTCTCTGGGTACAAGAAAGCTGTGCCCAGGAGGGCCGGGCTGGGAGCTTATTGACGCCCCAGCCCTTTTGCTTGAGAGCCCCTGTCTTTCTCCAGTGACCTGGACTAGGCGATGGTTAAAATCTTACTTTGTGTGTGTTTTCCTGAAACCACTTCCTTTTTGTGTCATGGGTTTGTAGTAGAACTCATATAAGCCTTTGGGTCCTGTGCTAGCCTCCATAGGATAGCAGCAGACCCTGCAGCACTGTGGGCATCTTCTTTCCCAAGGAGTTAGACAAGAAGGGTCTCTCTGGGGTGGAGAATAAAGAAGAACCCCCGTAGGTGCATGAAGTGCCTTTGATATATGATGGGGCAGGACTCTTACCTTCCAGACACAGGTCCTACCCACTGTGCATTCCAGATTTGGGCCACAACATGGCCTTGACATAAAGAGGGTGAGAGTGAGGTGACCAGGTTRGTGGAAAGCCCTGGCTKACCAAGAGGAAAGAAGAGCAACCCTCACCAGAGGGCATGTGGTGTCACAAGAAACGGATGGCTGCTTATCCAGTGATAGGGCTGTGAATAGACCTGGCATGTAGCCTGTCAGGCAAACAGCATTCAGAGGCTATGGGAATGAATCTATTATTTACCAACCCCTTCCGTGACATAAAAATTCTCTTAGAAGGTCTAAGGAGCCCATGTACCAGAGCAATTCCAAAAAGCCTCCTTGTTTCGACTCCTGAACAACATCTGGTTCCAAGAGCCAGACACAAGCAGGTAGATGTTGGCTGCATAGAGGGGAATCTATGAATGAAGGTTCCGGCAGTAGGACAGTTGACTTGGGAAGCAGAGCAAGGTTCCTGCCTTCAGGGTGGTCAGACAAAGACATGAGAACAATGGCATCATGGACCAGAAGTTGGGCTGTGTTGCCGCTTTCAGCCTTATTGTGAATGATTCTGAGGTGATTTTTCAGTAGGCAGATAAGCCACCACAGTCCTGAAAAGGAGGACCACCTGACTTTGAAGGCTAATCAGGGACTTGGGGGGGCCTGTGCTAGGCTGGGCTCAGAAGATCTAAATTTGCTGAGCCTACTCAGGGACAGCAAGGTAGGTTCTTTATCCAGAGTGGTCAGTGGCCTTGGAGACCTCGAAGTGCTTTGTAGGTATTCTCTCCACCCCAGGCTCCTGTCTCGGACCTCACAGGCAGCCTGGATCCAGATCTGCACCATGCTCATTGGTTAATTTCCTCTCAAGTTGCACAGCAAAACTGATGCCTTATTTGCCATGTAACATTGACTATTTCTGAAAGCCATTTGTTCTTTCACACTCATAAAAATATATTGGTACTTTGGTTTATCTGCCAAGGTGGGAAAAAGCTTCTAATTTTTTGGCACTTTTTGCACTGTCCTGTTGATGCTGATGAATGGATCAGCATCAGCACCCACAGGCAGAGGAGCTTGTTGAGAGCCCAGTCTGCATGGCAGACAGTCACTGCTATTGACCCTCCGTGTACCAAGCTTCACCACCCTCTGGCTGGGCAGCACATGCAAGGAGCAGCCAGTCTCCCAGACTCAGCTAGAGGCTATAAAGCAGCTTATGTTAGCCCACCTCAACCCCATACTCCTCCTGTAAAAGTAAGCATATTCTTTGGTAGATACAATAAAATCTAACCATTCTTTAGGGCAAAATGATTGGAATTAGATATTTTAAGTTTCTGACTTCTTATTGCCTCTTCCAAAGTTTATGTTCCATTATGTAATTCATTTTTTAAACTCTTCAGTTTTCTGTACTTATCAGTTTTTAGATTCTTACARTGGTCTTCAGCCACCTGTTTCTTTTCTTTTGCATCAATAGCTGGAGGAGAAGGCACGCCTGGAAGCTGAGGCCAGGGCACGGGAGCATCTGCACCTCCAGGAGGAGCAGAGGCGGCGTGAGGAGGAGGAGGAGGAAGAGGAGGAGGAGGAGCATCATTTCAAGGAAGAATTTCAGCGGCTTCAAGAGCTTCAGAAGCTAAGAACTGTAAAGAAGAAGAAGAAGGAGAGGCCAAGTAAAGACTGTCCCAAACTGGACATGCTTGCTAGAAACTTCCAGGCAGTGACAGAGTCTGTCCCTAACTCTGAAAATATTCACAATGGCTCAGTAGAGCAATCCGAAGAACCAGAAACCTCATCTCTCTCCCCTTCAACACATGTGAACCACTCAGAGCCCAGGCCAGGGCTGGGAGCAGATGGGGATGCTGCAGACCCTGTTGAGGCCACAGACTCCAAACTCCTCCTCCCTAGGGAGGTCAATGGGAAGCAGCATGAGCCACTAGCTTTTTTCTTGGACATGATGCATCACCATAAAGAGGGAAATGGGAAACAGAAGCTAAAGCAGACCAGTAAGGCCAGTAGCGAGCCAGCAAGGAAACCCCCAGAGCCCCCCAAAGCCACAGAGGGTCAGCCCAAGCTCCGGGCCCAGACTGAGGCAAAGGCTAAAGTGGTTGAACTCACTTCCCTCTCAGAGCAGAAAAGAGAAGAGAGAAAAGTTAATAGTAATAACAATAACAAAAAGCAGCTAAACCACATCAAGGAGGAGAAGTCAAACCCAGCCCTTCCGGAGCCCCCATCTCCCAGCCAGCATCAGCAGAATGGGCGGCTCATACTGGCAGATTCTCCCCAGCCAAAGGGCAAGAACAAGAAAAGTAAGAAGAAGAAAGGAGAGCGAGCCAGCAGTTCAATTGGTAAATACAAAACGGGGAGTGTTTCTAGCCTGTGGGTGGTTACTGTTCTTTGTGAGGCAGGCACTGGGCCTGGCCTCTGTGATAGTCACCCTGGTGGGTGGGATGCTCTTGCCTGTCCTTGACTATGTGCCTTTTGTGACTTTTTCACCAACAGTGAGGGACCCATAGTCATGGCTATCATATTTTTGTTATTTTGAAACACTTTTAGACTTATCAAAAAGCTATYAAGAGTATGCAGATTTTTTTCTGAATATTTTTGATGTGTTGTGGTTGGATCTGCATATGGGGGACCTTTCCATAGTCAAGTTGATGTTTCCCCTGTGCGACCAATAAGCTAGGGTCTGTGCTATGAACTGGGAGTCCAGGGGTGCTCTTTTGCCTTTGCCCTTGCTGTGTTGGTAGCAGCCCCTCTGAGGTGAGAGCCCAAGTCCCACTGTCCACCGCACACCTACTGACTTGCCCAGCCCTAGAACACACATGAAGAACTTGCAGAATTGCCTGCTTTTGCCATTGTGAAAACTGTAGATTGCACCTGCTTTTGCTTTTTCTCCTTTTTTATAAACTTAATGTATTCTGGRAAACATTCCAAATCAGTTCCAAATGAGATTTTCCTCATTCTTACAGCTGCATAATATTTATATTTTAAATGTCTGCACTTTATTCAACCGTTGCCCTATGTGCAGCAATTAAGGTTGCTGCCAGTACTTTGAAATTATAAACAGTGCTACAGTGAACACTGTTGTGTGTGTCTGTTTTCAAGTTGTTTGGAAGTGTATCTTCACAGTAATTTCTTGGAAGAGGTACTGCTGGATCAAAAGGTAAGTGCGTAGGTAGTTTTGCTAAGTCACCTCCAAGTTCTACCCCAAACCTCCAGTCAGTCCTACCCAGCAGCATCTGAGTAAATTTGCCACAATCTGGCCAACAGAGTATGAGTTATTTACTTATTTATTTTTGGTGGTACTGGTGATGGAATCCTGGGTGTTGCTCATGCTGTGCAAAAGCTGTCCTCTGAGCAGCATCTCCTGTAGGTCCAGTAGTGTGCCACCACTCCTGGCCAGGCTTTTGTTTCATTTTGCTTGTGACACTAGGGATTGAATCCAGGGCCTCACTCATGCTAGGCAAGCACTGAACTACATCTCCAACTTCTTTTTTAAACTATTTTTATTTTAAAATAAAATTGAGGCAGGATCTTGCAAAATTGCCCAGGCTGGCCTTGATCTTGGGATCCTCCTGCCTCAGCTTCAGAATAGCGGGGATTACAGGTGTGCACCACTGTGCTTGCCTTGTTTATTCTGTTTTTAACAATTCTTTATGTATTAGGGATATTGTCCTTTTAACTATGGAATATGCTACAGATGTTTTCTCCAAATTCATATGTTGTCTTCTGACTTTCTTAATGTTTTTCAGCCATATGGAAATTTCCTTTTTCGCTCTTACATAGTCAACATTATTATTAATCTTTAATTGCCTTTGGAGTTTGAATGACTGGTAGAAAGTCATACCCTAATCCAGGGTTAAAGAAAAATGTGCCCRTGTTTCCTGCTAGTGATTGAGTGGTTCCTCCCCACATCCCCAGGCCCATTTAGATCTTGTGTATGGTGTGAGGAATGGAACCGTTTTACCTTTTTCCAAATTGTTAGTGAACCACTTGTCTCATCACCAGTTACTGAGAAGTTAGTACTGCACTCGAGACTCGAGCAGTTTCTGTGTATACTGGGCTCTGTTTCTRCACTTGCTATTCTCTGCCTGTTTAGCTCTGTGCCAGTATTGCATTGAATGAGTGTATTATAAATGTTKCGTGGGCTCTTCTCTCCTTTAATTTTAGTAATTATTTTATTAAATAATTACTAAAATTAATTTCATCTGTTTCTTTTTGATTTCTTTAGTGTGGCTAGAATCAGATCTCTGCTGGAGAGTGCTGCCCAGCTGGTTATGGTGTGTGTGACAGCTGTCCACTCTGTTAACACCACATCCTCTGCTTCAGCCACCTGTTTCACAATTTGAATCTTATTTCAGTACTTCTGCGCTTCCATGTTTGGTTTCCATCAGTACCAGTGTGCCTTGTTTCAAAGGAAAAGCTTGTTGGTGTCTTCATTTGGCTCTTAGCAAGCTTGTAAAACCTCRAAGGGAGAAATGACATCTTTATGATTTTGATCATCCTTTGCAGRAACAAGGCATGTTTTCCATTTGGTCATGACAACTTTCGGGTCTTTCAGGAATTCTTTAAATTTTCTCCCATATTTTTTTTCACATTTCTTATTTGTATGTATTTAATCACCTTTACTTTTAGCCTAAATGGAGTATTCAAGACCTTTGTGCCATTTCACTGGGCTATCCAACACAGTAGCCACTTGTCTTATCCCCCTCCGGAATACTTGAAATGTGACTTGTTCAAGCTGAAGGTGTTTCAAGTTTTAGATACAAATTGGGGGCTGGGATTATGGCTCAGCGGTAGAGCACTTACCTAGTATGTGCGAGGCCCTGGGTTCGATCCTCAGCACCACATAAAAATATATAAAATAAAGGTATTGTGTCCAACTATAACTAAAAAATAAATACTTAAAAAAAAGATTCAAAATGGTTTTTTGAAAACCTCATTTTAAAAAAATGCAATATCTCAACGTAATTTTATTTATTTATTTGATTTATTTGTTTGTTTTGGTACCAAGGGTTGAACCCAGGGGGTGCTTAACCACTGAACCACGTCCTCAGACCTTTTTTGTATTTTATTTATAAGAGACAAGAGTCTTGTTGAGAAGCTTAGGGCCTTGCCAAGTTGGTGAGGCTGGCTTTGAATTTGTGACCCTCCTGCCTTAGCCGCCCGAGCGGCTGCAACTACAGGTGTGCACTGCTGTGCCTCACTCTCAACATAATTTTTATGTTGAAATTATGTTTTGATAAAATTTCATTAAATAATTACTAAAATTAATTTCATCTGTTTCTTTTTGATRTCTTTAATGTGGCTAGAATCAGATCTCTGCTGGAGAGTGCTGCCCAGCTGGTTATGGTGTGTGTGACAGCTGTCCACTCTGTTAACGCCATATCCTCTACTTCAGCCACCTGTTTCACAATTTGGGTCTTATTGCTGGCTTTCTGGGGGTTTCCAGGTGTGTTGTGTATCTGGTCAAGAAAGCTCTTCTTCTCCCTTTCCAGTCTTTCTTTATATGCTTTCTCGTGTTTAGCTGCACTTTTCCTGATTGTAGGAGTTTCCACATGAATGTTGAGTTACTGGCCCTAGGACTAAGGTTTATATATTTTATCATGCTGGGAAACTATCCAGTGCCTCCTCCATTGCTTGCATGTGTTTGTGAGGAATGGGTGTTGAGTTTTATCAGTGGTATTCTAGAGTCCCTGAAGATAATCAYGACTTTTCTTCTGAGGCCTATTCATGTGCTGTGTATTTCTACTAAATCTGCTTATGTTGTATCGCTCTCAGATTCCTGGAATAAAGCTCACTTGTGGCGAATTTTATTCTTTGATTTCGGAGTTCTATTTGCTGTTACTTTAATTCATGAGAGACAGGACTCAGTGACTTCCTTTTTTCTAATTTTTTTAGGGGGTGTGTGTACTGCTTAAATCAACTTTGGGTATCAATATTATACTTGCTTCAAAAAAAGAATTAGTAAACTTTGTTGTAGAATAATTCCTGCTATAGAATAATTCCTGCTATATTGCAGATGTCTAGATGTTTGATAGAATTCTCCTTTGTAGTCCCTTGGGCCTGGTGGGTTTTGTTTTTCTTATTTTTTTGGTGAGGTAGTTTCTTGGTAATTTTTTCTCTCTTCATGTCAAATGTTCTCATATTTCTGCATATAGTGAAGTTAATTTTGGGAGAACTGCCTTCTCATAGTAAGTTTTCCTTTTCACCTTAATTTTTAAATGTGTTTGCAGAGATGTCTACAAAGTAGAATTATTACTTACTTTAAATATCTTCTCATTGTTGTTTGTCCTCATCATTCCTTGTTTTCTCTATCTGTGCTGTCTTCCTGTTTGGCCTAAGTTAGTGATTTGTTGTTGTTGTTGTTGTTTTTTATCATACTCTTGTTAATTAGTATTACCTTTTTTCTCTACCTCATTAACGCTATTCTATTTGCTCCATGAACTCTCTTTCATTTTACTTTATTCTTTCTCTTGGTGTATTTTGTTTGTTTGTTTGTTTTTTTAAAGAGAGAGTGAGAGAGAGAGAGGGAGAGATAGAGGAGAGAATTTTTTTAATATTTATTTTTTAGTTATTGGCAGACAAAACATCTTCGTTTGTATGTGGTGCTAAGGATCGAACCCGGGCCACACGCATGCCAGGCGAGCGCGCTACCGCTTGACCCACATCCCCAGCCCTGTTTGTTTGTTTTTTAATTGAACTTAGGGTATCTCTACCACTAAGCTACACATCCTGGCCCTTTCCATTTTATTTTCAGACAGAATTTCATTAATTTGCCCAGGTTGGCCACAAACTTGCAACCCTCCTCCCTCAGCTTCCCAGTTCGCACCACCACGCCCAGACTTATTTCTAACTTTTTGATTTCAGAAATTGAATTAGTTTTCATTTCCCCTATTTTTATTGATAAAAGGTGGATTGGCTTTTGGAATTTTCTAATCGTTGCTTCAAATATATCCAGGAGTTTTGATTTTTGTATATATAGTTATAATTTTTCCAATAGTTTTCAGTTTTAGAAATTCTATGATTTCTACTGGGCATTGTGGTGTATACCTATGATCCCTGCAACTGGGGAGGTTATAGCAGGATGGCAAGTCTGAGGCCAGCCTCAGCAACTTAGTAAGGTCCTCTCTCAAAATAAAAGATAAAGGCAAGTGTAGTGGCACATGCCTGTAATCCCAGAGGCTCAGGAGGCTGAGGCAGGAGAATTGCAAGTTTAAAGCCAGCCTCAACAACTTAGTGAGGCCATGAGCAACTCGGTAAGACCCTATCTCTAAATAAAATATATAAAAGGTGGCTCTTGGGTTGTATCTCAGTAGTAGAGTGCTTGCCTCACACGTGAGGC